TTTTTTTTATGGTATTAAGAATGCTTTGTGAATAAAAAAATCACATCAAAATGCAAGTGCACTCATGAAGTTCTCTCCCGATTATTGTCAATGCGCGTTTATTTATTTTCTTCAACTCTTTGTTTCTTGTTAGTTTCTTCGTTTCAAAGACTAACCCGATTTTGAGCGCACTTTCAGTGATATTTCATTATTATGGCCATGATTCATGATCCCCTGTGTTCGAATGCCCCCACCAACTATTTAGAAAGTGGGGGCGCGGATATATATATATATATATATATATATATATATATATATATATACATACCAGATTCTTTGAACGTCAATCACGCTGGACCCGACGTATTGTATGCAAGAAAGAGACGACGAAACTTTCACGGAAGCGTCTTTACTAAACGTTTTCAGCTGGTGGACCAGCCTTCGTCAGAGTAATGTGACAAGAGTTCATAAATGGCTTTAAAAGCTCCTTTCAATAACAAGTCAGCGCCATCTGCGCTGGTTAGCATTACAATGCGCATCATAAAATGTCATGTGCTTCAGAAAAAAAAAGAAAGACAAAAAAATGGGAAAACCAGAAGGGTACACACATACTGAAGACACGGTTGAAGATTCCCTTACATGTACTGTGACGTGATACCATGCTTATACGCAGTTAAGAGATGTAGAAGCGCAGTGGTGTAATCACATTGCATGGCAGCATAAGAACAATCTTAGTGATATGTGAACGTATAATGGAAGCCACTGTGAAATGAATGAAGATAAATTTTTAAAAAACTAAAAAAACAAAAAGGGAAGTCAGAAGGCGTGATTTAGGCGGTACAATTTGAAACCAGTGCATCATCGCTCTTATTCTAGTGAAAGACAGGTCTGTTTTCCTTTGTTTTCGTTGATTCCAACTGAAACAGTGTTAAATTTATGAATGAGATATGACTCGCGTAGTTCACGATCATGGCTGGTGCGGAATCCCGATTCTAGTATCGTGACTTTAAGGTTACTAAATAAGTGGCCGGGCATGTTCACATGCTTTGATAATGGAAGGTTTGGTTAGGTTTTAGCATGCGATCTGTGATTGTTGAAACTTATTCTGAATGGGGTTTCAGTGTGGTCTATGTATTGCATATGGTAGGTGCCACACTCAAGCAAATACACTACATTGGATGAATCACAATTAAAGCTTCCCCTAATTGCGAAAATGAATTGGTTAGATGTGCTGGTGACTGTTAATGATGGTTCTATATGAGGACAAACTTTACAATGGGGTTTGTTGCAGCGGCTACCACCAGTACGGTTAATGGTAGCAATTTTAGATGACGTCAGGATGTCACCTATGTTTTTTGAGCGCCTATACACTACTCGAGGGGGCTCAGGAAAGACCGCTTTTAGTCTGTCGCTTTGGGTGAGGATGTTGTAACGGTTACGCAGTATACCTTGAACTTTGGGGATGGACGCTGAGTGTGTTAGTACTAAATTGGCTGGCTGAAGCCCGTTGCTTTTTATGCTACCTTTTAAACAGTCCATTCGATCGCGTCCTCTGGCTCGGTGTATCGCGTCGTCAATAATTTTTTCCGGATATTTTCGCTTAAAAAGCTTCTTTTTCAGATCATGGCAGCAGAAATTAAAATCTTGATCTTCAGAGCATATGCGCCTAAAGCGCTGTGCCTGGCTATATGAAATTGCAGTCTTCCAATGGCGCACGTGGCTACTTTCAAAATGAAGAAACTGGTGATTATCGGTTGGCTTATTAAAAAGCTTCGTAATTAGCCGTCCATGGGAAATGGTAATTGTGACGTCGAGAAAGGCTACAGACAAGGGTGAGTAAGTGTGGGAGAATGTTATAGCGGGATGTACCTGGTTGAATTTCGCTATAAAGTTTAGAAGTTGTGTTTCACCATGTGTCCAAATAAAAAATATGTCATCAATGTAGCGTTTGAAATGCTCAGGCTTTAGTGGCACACTCTTAAGAAACGAGTCTTCGAGCACTCCCATGAAGATGTTTGCGTATGTAGGGCCTATCTTTGTACCCATCGATGTTCCACTGATCTGTACGTGATGAGAGCCATTGAATTCGAAGTTATTCAACTCGAGAATGAGCTTCAGCAGTGTTTCGAGAGTTGACGTGTCAATTAGCTTGTCAGATTTGGAGTGGTCATATAAATCTAAAACAGCCTGTATACCGTCCTTGTGGGGTATGTTAGTGTAGAGGGAGGCGACGTCCATCGTCACCAGAAGCGAACCATCAGGCACTGTTAGGTGTGATATTCCATTGAGAAAATCGTTGGTATTCTTAACAAAGGAAGCGAATGTGGGCGGAAGAACTTTTATCAAACTCTCAGTGTAACGAGATTTGTTTTCTGTTACTGTTCGAATGCCCGAAGCAATCGGACGGCCTGGATTTCTGGACTTGTGTATATTTAGGAGCAGGTAAAATCTTCCGGCAACAGGGCTAAGCGGAATGAGGCTGCGTGCTGTCTTATCGTCGACCCTTTTCTTTTCTTACCAATGCTTTAATGGTGTCTTTTATGATGACAAGAAAGTCAGTGGTAGGATCAGCGGGAAGTTGTTTGTAAAAAAGTAGTGTCAGATAACTGTCGTACGGCTTCTTTTATGTAACTTTATTTGCCCATTATCACAACCGAGCCGCCCTTGCCTGCTGGTTTTACGATAATATCATCAAGTGCATTCAAACTTTTAAAAGCGTCGAATTCACTGGCAGAAAGGTTTTTTCGGAACGGGCTATGCGTTTTGTAAGCGTTGAGCACGTCACGCGAGACAGCTTTGATGTAAGGTCTAGGCATTATATATATGTGTATATATATATATATATATATATATATATATATATATATATATATAGATATATATATATATATATATATATATATTCCTGTCGAGCTTCGCACTCCAATAAAAGTAATAGGCTGCCTATAGCAACTAGATCTTTGAAGCACTTGCTTCAATTGGGAGACGGCATGACGACGATAATAAAGTGCAGCGCTTGTTCAAAGATCAGCTTTCGTTGATGGTATGGTTACTATTATCTGAGTAGCACGATTTTCGCTACACAAATAAGAGGGATTAGCGAGGCTTACTTCTTGGAATCCTCGGCCTCCGACCTTGCAGTTTCAGCATCCTCCTCCTCTCCATCCTCCATTTCAGTGAAGCAAGAGTAGCTATTGGTATTAACTTTAAACCGACTATTCGCGCTATTTCTGCTCCTCACGGGACGGCTTTACGCTCTTCCATAGCAGAAAACCTAGTACTCTAAATCGTTACCCACTTTTTATAAGCACACCGAAGCGCTAAACATTAGAATTGTACATTGCTGAGTGGACAGGAGTACATATGAAGTGGCCAAAGGTTCGTTACACGAGCAGTACTCACAGACAAGACGAACAGCAGTACGCTTGTTTTGTTTCTTTCTGTCGTTATTGTGCATTTTTACGGTGGCCAAGTCAACCGGGGATAGTTCCGGCGCAATCACTCGAAGCACTGACGTCAATAGAGACAAGGCTTTAAAGCGTGACGAAGTTTCGACGAAGCTCACGTATTAGCGCGAGACATTTTATCATGTTCGCATTCCACGTTTACTTCAAGAAGAACTGTTCTAGTCCTGACAGATAAGAAGCATATAAACGTGTACACAAATAAAATTTTTGCGATTGGAAGTAGTGTTACTCGTTCTCTGAAAGCAATGTTTTAATGCGATCTACAGGATAGAACTGTTCTCCAACTTTTGAACAGGATGTCGTAGCAGCTGCTGCAGGTCAAAGAAACATGTGGTCATTCCTTCTCATTCGGTGCAGGATAACATAAGGTTATCTTTCAGTTCGCAGAAAAAAAGAAGCATCTAGTTAAGACAGAAAGTAAAATGTGTTGGACATTTTACAGTTTGGGTGCTCAAGTATACTGTAATATAACCGTTACGGATTGAAGGTGTACCTCAACGTCCACAGCGTTCTCTTCGCGTTGGCCTCGCTTGAATAATGGGCTCTTGAGTCCGTGTGACCGCTTGTCTGAATGAACGTTTAACGCAATGTCACCCACAAACCTGCTAGGAGAGTGCCAAAAGTAACACCCAGGGTTACCGAGCTCAACTACGTGTGCTAGGCTCAGATCCCACTTCAAGTACAATACTGAAAAATGCGCGGCCGCAATGTCAAGCTCTCCTCATATTTACACACTCGTTGCAATCAGGGCACATTATTGAAACATGCACGTGTGTCAACCTAGCTACGCACACATGCATGTCGATCTGAAAGCGAAACAGACTCCGAAAATTGACGGTAGTGACTTTGAACGTAAAGACAGGCGCCATTTTAACGAAAGGAAGAAAAAGCTGCAGCATGGCGCTTACCTCTCGCGACTAGCACACGTCTAGACCTCGCTATCACTGGCTTGCCAGGTTTACCGAGCTCAACTACGTGTGCTAGGCTCAGATCCCACTTCCAGTACAATACTGAAAAATGCGCGGCCGCAATGTCAAGCTCTCCTCATATTTACACACTCGTTGCAATCGGGGCACATTATTGAAACATGCACGTGTGTCAACCTAGCTACGCACACATGCATGTCGATCTGAAAGCGAAACAGACTCCGAAAATTGACGGTAGTGACTTTGAACGTAAAGACAGGCGCCATTTTAACGAAAGGAAGAAAAAGCTGCAGCATGGCGCTTACCTCTCGCGTCTAGCACACGTCTAGACCTCGCTATCACTGGCTTGCCAGGTTTACCGAGCTCAACTACGTGTGCTAGGCTCAGATCCCACTTCCAGTACAATACTGAAAAATGCGCGGCCGCAATGTCAAGCTCTCCTCATATTTACACACTCGTTGCAATCGGGGCACATTATTGAAACATGCACGTGTGTCAACCTAGCTACGCACACATGCATGTCGATCTGAAAGCGAAACAGACTCCGAAAATTGACGGTAGTGACTTTGAACGTAAAGACAGGCGCCATTTTAACGAAAGGAAGAAAAAGCTGCAGGATGGCGCTTACCTCTCGCGTCTAGCACACGTCTAGACCTCGCTATCCCTGGCTTGCCGTCTGGCAGAACTGCGGGGACTTGCCCTGCGTTCCCCACATTGCCGACATGCTTGTCGGCCGTCAGGTTAAGACGCGGCTGAAGGTATGGCCGCCGTCCCTGGGCAGCTTTGGCGGAGAGTTCATCGACACCCAGCACTATCGTTTCGGCACCGCCATTGCTCGCCTAGGGGTGGGGCCGTTTCGAAGTAGGACACACTGGTTGATGAAGGTGTGCCGCTCTTCTCGAGCGGCTGCTCGTTCAGGCCCAAAAAGCTCGCCGGCCTGGTGTGCTAGTGAGCTCGCCGTGGCCTTCGCCGTCACCTGGGGTGTCACAGTGCAGTCGCCAGACACTGTTCGGGGTGTTGCTGGGACCTTTCCGGTGTAACCTCCTGAAGCCAATGGTAGAGCTTGTATTCCTGCCAGGTTTCCTTCATCCCAGACGATTCACCTGGAGCTTGTGTGGCCTCCGGAGCCTCCACTTTCGAGGAGTCACCACCGGAAGGCGATGAGGTCACAGGTGGTTCCGCCTGCTTGTTTGTCTCGCCGGTTCCCCAGGCAGCCTCCTAAGCCTTGGATGCCCGGTCGCGGACACGTAGGTACAGTCGCAATCTTTTTGAGAGTGAGCACGGGAGTGCGTGGCTTTCGGAGATATCAGCGCTGTTAAGCGGTGGCACTCAAAAGCATCGCTCATGTGCAGTGCGGCCAGGCTACGAAAATGATAGCGGCGCGCACATTTCGTCAGACGAGCTAGCGCGTGTCGTCTGCTGCACGCGCACTGCTGTAGGAAAACCGGGTACTTCAAAGTGGCAAGAATCTTGAACGTCTAATTATGCTCTACCTAACTCACAAATAAACGTTATGTTCTCAAGATCATCGTGGATTTGTCACTGGGCGCTTTCCCCGACGCACATTTTGTGTTCCAGCATGGCCTGGCGCCGGGGCACTCGGCAAAACTTATTATGAACGAGCACACGTAAAATCGCATGGTTGCGGTCCTCTTCTGGCAAGCTTGAGCATTTGTGAAAACATATGGCAATATACATAAAATAGGCTATTGTGCGGCACTCTGTTAACGCGGCGGCTGCGGAGAAACTGAAGGTTCGACAAGAGTGGCAGAATCTTCGAGCGCATCGTTACTTTGTGCCAGCGCTGTACTCCTCACAACCTTCCAGGATGGCAGCAGTGGTCTTAATTTTCGAAGGTAAACATGCCAAAGTACTAACGTAACATCGAGGTATAAGCTACACCAGATTACTGATAGAACTTCCTTAAACTAATTCATCTTTCGTGGAACGTACACAAAATGACCGCTCGTGTGGTTTTGTTTATTTGCCTTTTCGTTGTACGTCTTCAAGAACGCAGGAAAAAGACAAAAAACAAGTGACACAGCAGGCATAATAATTGCGCCGATTGAACTGCAAGCATATAAGCTTTAGTAGCCATATTATTTTGATCACCAAAGATGCCGAAAATCAGTTAGCAGACGACACAAAAGCACAGCGGTGACGTGATGCGCGCGAAGGGAAGCTACCCTCCTCACGCATGCGCGCAGATACTCTGGCGTGTCCACAAACGGTGCTATAGTAGCGCCGCAAGCCACGCGCTCCTGTATGCACTCTCAAAAAGATTTGGACTGTCCACGTGTCCGTAACGCCGGCGTATTGAGCAGCGGGCACCCTGAAGTCTCGGCGTATGTGGCCCGTGCCGTGGCAACGCCAACACTGCATTGCCCACCCGGGAACAGGTCATCCACCTTCATTCCCGGCTTCAGCTTTAGGAGCTCTTGGCCGACCCCTTCTCCCTCACGTCTTGAACACGCCACCGTTCTCGAGTCACTTCAGTGACGTTGCCAAACGCGGCGAAGGCTCCCTGGATGTCTTCATCTTGGACGCCATAGAGCATTCAATGCAGGCGAAGCTTGACCTACTGATCCTCAGGATTAATTATTATGTACCAGCGGCCCTTGACCTTAAGCGCTTTCATAGCTTCTTCGCTGCTGAGGGTCACGGTCCAGACGAAATCAATCTGGTACGCCCCTAACGCGACGACGTCGGGCAGCACACCGGCCGTCGCGACGGCGTCTCTGAAGTCTTCGACCTTGTAAGGCCGCTCACGCATGTCTCCGTGCAGAAACAACGTGCTGTGGACAACATGGCTAGTCAGCGGAATATGCAGCACAACCTCGTAATCGCTGTCGCCATCGGCCACCATCCTGTTTCCGCGGCTGGCACGGGCTGCTATCACCGTTCCATCGGTGCACATGATCCGCCGTCAGTTCGCTATTGCAGCCGCAAGAATAATTATCGACCACTGGTACGTTACAAGAGTGCGCGACCTGCAATATAGGCTAACCTTCGTCTTTTAGATCTTTCCAAACTGATAACAACATATGACCTTCGAAAATGCGTGAAAAACTGCACCTCAATTGGACAATCGATGCAATTACGAATAGTGGCTCCACTAGGCAACGAGCCATATAACTTTAACTATGAGCTAAAATAACGCACAGCCTTTATGACACGCTCGTTTCATAAAAGGTAGGTCAGTGGTTCGAATCCCGTTGTCATTCTCATGTCCAACATAAATTCGTTTGAGACTGTGCGCTATTTTAGCTCTTAATTGAAACTGTATGGCTCGTTTACAAGCCTGAGCCACTGTACGCAATGGCATCACTTCCCATATTCAGGTGCCATTTTTGAAGTTCATGTGCTGTTGTCAGTTTGGAAAAATCTAAAATAACAAGGTTAGCCTAACATTTCAGATTGCACACTCTAGTGACGTATCAGGGGCCGAGGGGCTATGTGTTCGTTTCACAACCGGAAGGTCTGCGCTACGTATTCGGCTGTGCTCTTTTCTTAACGTGTTTTTTTTTCTTTTTTCTTAAATCCGGTTCAGACACTACAGCGGCATCGGACCGTGAGGTGGCTGGTCCTATATCGCTAAGTTTCTACAAGGCGGAGTGAGACAAAAGATCAGAGAAAAAAATTTACCTGGTGTTCTTTTGCGCGCACTGACAGCGCACAGGCTTCTACCATTTGTCCTACATTTAAATGCGACCGCCGCTGCCAGGTTCAAACCCGCAGCCTTCGGGTCAACCGTCGAGTACCATAAACGTGGTGTGTTAATAAATAAATATTATATTGATTTGAACTTCCAATTATCGGTACTGAAATATCTAAAGCCGGCAGAGTTAGGCAAGACATTCTTTTAGTCGCAACGCGAAATTCCGCAGTGACGAACCTCCCCAGGGCTTTACACGATAGCAGTGGCCCCAAACGGAATAATAACTGGTTCCGTTGATTCCGGGCCCAGCTTGCGAAAAGGTGGTGCTAGCACTGTTCGGTTTGCATCCCCTCCTTCGTCTTCGTTCCACTTCCTTCTAAAGCAAGCAAAAGAAAAAGAAATAGACGGAAACCTCAGCTTAGTGCATGCACGCAATGGCGCATTCCTTTCTTTCTACCGGCACAAACGCAATGGTTTAACGCCGTTCCTCTCCCACTGTTTTTTTTCTCTCCATGCACCGAGTACTGCAGTGAGACTTCGCAGGGTTGTCGGGAGGACGGAAGAGCGCCGGCGCGCAGGCTGTCATGCCCGTCAGACTTCTCGCGTGTCGCTCTCTCGGCGAACGAATGAGCCACCGTCGGCGACCCCGTCGTATAGCGGGATGCCGTAAAATCCGCTAGCGGGCTCTCTTCTGCCGTAATTAAAGCCGAAGCTACGTAAGAGCAGGCCACAACACCCGAACTGCGGTCCACACGTCGCCCTTCCCCCGTACTCGTTCGTATCCATCAACCACGTACTCACCTCCTCGAACTAAACATCCCTCTTTCCCATCAGTTCTCTGCCACCTCCTTCTCAAGCACGCACTCTGGGACACTGCTGCTAGGTTCGGCTGCAGTCATCACCACTACTGCTGCTGCTGGCAGGCGCGTGCTCACTGTCTGCTTTCGACGCTCTAGGTCGTGGTGGGGGTGAGTGCTGTTCTCAGAAGCTTTCTAGGGAAGGGTGAGAGTTAAAGGAGAAAAGGTGTTGATGAAATGCCCCTTTCCGCTTATCATACGGGCACGACAAAAAAAAAAAGGGTTGCGATGCCTCTCGTGAACGCAGACCATCGGTAGACCTCCTTTTATGCGAGTGCATCCCCTGTCTTGTTTTCCATTCATTAACAGTCATCGCAAAACAAGTACCTTCAGGCTCTACGAGTAGGGAGAGTCTTTACTTCGCACCATTTTTATTCGGTGGGGCTCAAACTATGACCTCAGTGAAGGGCCTTGGTTGTGGCGTCTTCAGTCTGCCTAGTGCTGCTTAAAGGATCTGACACTGAATTAGGAAGCCCGCTATACTTGTGTTGTTTGATAGTCCTGCATGCGTGGGACCTTTTGACCGATTATTACTAACAAACGCTGTCTTGGGATATACGTTATTCGGTTATTCTGAAGTAAGCGGAAAGGCTCATCTGAGATCTCAAAAATTTGCGACATCACCACTAGCATGGCGTAGACAGAGAGCACGTGTGACGTTCTACAAGCAAAGCGAACATTGTCGACGTTGCAGAACCTTCACTGGATGCACACGAGACCATGACTGGCAACGAATGAGGGCTGTTGATCCTCGTCCTTCTCGCTCTGTTGTCGGGTGGCTGTCGAGGTGATTTAGACTACTTACGCCACAAATGATTTATTCTTCACAGCACGCAGTTTGAAAGCTGCGCGTTCAATGTCACTGTATACCTTGAACACACGAGGTCCCAAGGTCGAAATTTCCGGAGCCCTCCACTACAGCGTCTCTCATAATCAAATGGTGGTTTTGGGACGTTAAACCCCCACATATCAATCAATCAACACGAGGAACCAAGAGCTTCCCCGCTGTGGGGCGCTAGGGTCTAACATTTTTAGACGGACGTTTTTAGTTGACTCTCAAATTTGACAGAATTAACCACGCTGGCATTTTTTATACGGTGCGTTCGATAATTTGCGATTCCGTGTTCACATTACGCAAGGCTAAAAACTATAGCAAAAAAAGTCGCAAACATTTTTCTGACAGGGTCCTTTAAGCCAGAGGGAAAATGACAGGATCTCCAGTCCTTGCTTGAGCACAACACGGTGCCGTAGTGCCTTTGTCACCCTGGGGTGTTCTCAGTGGCTCCCTTGTTTTGCACAGAGATGTGAACGGCAGTCGTTGTACACGTTCCAACAAAATTTCTTAAAAGTGCTTCCTGTAGTACAAACTACCCGAGGTGCGCCGAATATTTTATAGACCGCTACATCTAGATTGTTCTGTACAGTATATTACTGAGCCTTCGCTCGATCCCATGGAGCCGGTTGGCAATGTGGGGGCACTCTATGCTTAACTTTTTGTTTCTTTTCTTTCACTCGCTTTTCTTTTTCAAAATTAACATTTGACACTTGTCCTGTTCACGTTTTTTTTTTTAATTCGGTAGCCTGCAATACTTCGATGTAGCGAGCAGGACATTGTTGGTTGTTTTATTTTTGTTTTTCTTAAGCTTATATTTTGCCCACGTAAATTCGTCAGCCAGAGTGTCATCGTGAATAAGAGGCTAGTTTGGTGACCCGAAGGTCA